ATTGCTACAGAAGTAGATTGCCCCATCTTCCTTCCGAGGAGTGGCTGGTGGGTTTGAACCACCAGCTTTCTGGTTAGCAGTCAAGTGTCTTAGCCACTATGCTACCAGGGTTCCTACATTGCTGGTAGGAATGGAAAATAGGGCAGCTTTTGGAAAACAGTCTGACAGCTCCTCAAGGGGTTAAACACAGAGTTACTATATGGCCCAAAAATTCTACTCCTAAGTACATACCCAAGAGAAATAAAAATGTATACTCAAATAAAATTTATACACAAACATTTATAGCAGCATTATTCACAAAATCCCAAAATGGAAACAAATGTCTGTCAGCTCTTGAATGGATAAATAAAATGGGTTATATGCATACAATGGAATATTATTTGACGCTAAAAAGGAATGAAATACTGATTCATGCTATAAAGTAGATGAATCTTGAACTCATGATGCTGAGTGAAAGAAGCCAGGGACAAGAAGTCACATATTGTACCATTTCATTTATATAAACTGTTAAGAAAAGCCAATCCATAGGGACAGCATGTAAATTAGTAGTTGTGGGAGGATACAAGGCACGCTCATGGCTCAGTGCCTGAGGCATCTGACTGCTAACCAGAAGGTTGATGGTTCAAACCTACCAGCTGCTCTACAGAAGGAAGATGAGGCAATCTGCTTCCATAAAGATTGACTGTCATGGAAACCCAATGGGCATCGCTATGAGTCGGATTCGACTCAGTGGTAGTGGGTTTGGTTTTTTCTTTGTATAGTAGTATAGGGGGAGTGACTGCTAAAGGGTATGAGGTTTCTTTTTTGGCTTGATGAAATGTTCCAAAATTAATTTGGTGATGATTGTACAACACTGTGACTGCGAGGTTTGGAATCACCTTGCACAAGGCTACGGAGCTCTGGTGACACAGTGCCTAAGGCATTTGACTGCCAACCAGAAGGTTGGTGGTTCAAACCCACCAGCCACTCCTCGGAAGGAAGACTGGGCTGTCTACTTCCTTAAAGATTCACCCACTCCGAAACCCACAGGGGGTTGCTATGAGTTGGAATCGACTTGATGGCAGTGAGTTTGGGTGTTTTTGGTTTGCACAAGGCCATTTGGCCTTTGTTCTTTTGAGTCAAACCAACACCTGAGGCTAATGAGTGGAGGGCTGACCAGACCAAGAGGCCCACCTGGGAGGAGGCTGAGTAAGCTTCATGAGGCTTGAGGCCGTGATGTGAACCCTGAGCCCTAAGGCTCAGTGGCTTCCTGGTTGTTAGAACGGAACATGTGTTGTCACGAGGGTAGTGTATCCTCTTGGGACACGGAAGCTGCATGCCGGGACCCCACTGGGACCTTGCCCTATGCATCTCTTCTTTTTTCTTTGTATATTAAAGCTGTTCTTGCAGGCATGCTGTTTGCCGTGACCTTTGTGAGTCATTCCATTGACTGTATAGGACCCAAAGGAGGAATGGGGGTGGCTGAAGCAGAGGGAGTCGTGTGGGCTCCTGAGCTTACGGCTGGTACTTGCTGACCGAGACCGGGGTTGAGCGAGAGAAGGGCAGTGTAGGCAGCTGGGGTCTGAGCTGAACGGGGCAGGGAAGCTGAGATTTCCATGGGAAGCAGCTGACCTGTGGCGTGGGATCTGTTACCCACCACAAAGTCTGTGTCGGAAGTGGGTGCTCTAAGGCTCCTGCACTGACTGGCCCGATGTGGGTGTTGTGGGCGCAGAGTCGATTCTGACTCAGGGCGACCCTACGGGCTACAGCAGAACGACTCCATAGGGTTTTCTAGGCTGTAGATCTTTACAGGGCCAGACTGCCAGGGCTGTCCCCCTACGGGACGGCTGGTGGGTTTGAACTGCTGATCTTTCGGATGACAGCCGCCACTTACCCACCATGCTACCTGGGCTCCTTATTTACATAGCAGTTCTATTAAAAACCATTGAATTATACACTTTAAATGGGTGAATTGTATGGTCTATGAACTATATCTCAAGAAAACTGTTAAAGCATCCACCTCATAGGGTCACTGTGAGTATTTAAATAAGTTAAATCACTAGCTAGCCAACTTTAGAGGCAACTTTAGCACACATCAGACTCACTGTGGGGGATGAAGGAAAGTTGACCCCATTCATGGTGACCCCATGTGTCCTGTGTCACAGTAGAATTGTGCTGCATGGAGTTTTCAGTGGTGAATTTTTTTGGAAGCAAATCACCACAGCTTTCTTCTGAGGTGCAGCTGGGTGGACCCGAACCCCCAGTCTTTTGGTTAGCAGCCCAATGCGTAACCATTGCGCCACCCAGAGACCGTTTTAGCTGGTGCTCCTGGCCTTATGAAGCATCTGCCCTGTATGTCTGCCTTCATAGGGTATCTTCCACCTGTGTGTGTGTGTGTGTGTGGTTTTATAAAACTCAGAAGTTACTAGGTTTAGGGTCCGGGGTGTCAATTTCCTATTTTGAGGGGACACAATTCAGGCCACAGTTAAGTGTGAGGGGCTGGCTGGAGACAGAGCAGGGGCACTTTAGTAAAACCCTGGAGCTGGGGGGGGGAGGGGCTCCAGGACCCAGAACATTCCAGGGGAGGAGGAGTCTGGGAAGAGGAGGGAGTTGAAGCTGGAGAGACCCGCAGCGCAGGGAGGGGAGGGGGAAGCAGTGGGGGAGGGGGAAGCAGTGGGGGAGGGGATGAGCTCTGTGTGGCAGCTGCTGGCTCCTTCTCCCCCCCCCCCCAGAGGGGCAACCCCGTGCTGAAGTTCGTGCGCAACGTGCCCTGGGAATTTGGCGACGTGCTCCCGGATTACGTCCTGGGCCAGGGCACCTGTGCCCTCTTCCTCAGGTGAGCTCTGGGGGCTGCCCCCCGCTCCAAGAGAGAAGGGCTTCCAAGCAGGCTGGGAAGGATCCATCAGGGCGCTCCTGCTAGCTCTGGGCCTGAGCGTGGCTCCGGGTGTGTGGGAGGAAGGGGGCTTTTGGCCTGGAGGGGTGCCTGGGGCAACTAGAGCCTTCTGGGACTCCTGGGGCTGAGGGAGGAGGGGGCTGCGTGACTCATGTCCCAGACATCCAAGGCTGGGGTCAAGGAGAGCTAGGGTATTTCCAGCTTCACCCGGGGCAAACATGTACCCCACGCTGCAGCCCAGAGGCACCTCCCCAGTCAGGGCCAGACAGGGGAGGTGAAAAGTCCTCATTCCAGTCTTTCTGCTGGGTGACAGCTAGAGGCTGGGCAGGGCTGACCCCTAATAACCCCGATAGAGGAGCCACCCCCCACCTCCCCGCCAGCACCTTCTGAGGCTCAGGCACATGGGCCCTCGCTCTGGCCCGGCCCTGCCCCCAGCCCAGCTGTGCAGCGGCCCCCAGTCTACCCTCTGTGGGAAACCTCCTCCTGGGCTCCAAGTCTCTTCTCTCTCAGTGAAGAACCCAGGGGTCCAACCTCCAGGCAGCCAGGGCCAGGCTGTCCATTGCGGTGCCACTTCCTGGAAGGCGGACAAGAGCCAGCCACTTAACTGCTCTCAGTCTCAGACCCTAGCAAGTCTTTCGGCCTCTGCCAGGCTTGTGGCTGCTGGCGTCTTACCTTCTGAATTCCGCTGAGGGTGGAGAAGGGCTTCTGGGTCTTGGGGAGACTGACCTCCCATTCCGTCCCTTTTTTCCCTGTCCCCGGCAGCCTCCGCTACCATAACCTCCACCCAGACTACATCCACGGGCGCCTGCAGGGCCTGGGGAAGAGCTTCGCCCTGAGGGTCCTGCTGGTCCAGGTGGACGTGGTAAGCAGGGGTCGCTACCCAGCGGGCCTCGGTATTCTGCTCTGGGAAATGGGGAGGTTTGGGCTCGGAGGTGGCAGAGTGGACTACGTTGTTGGCTCCTGCTCAAGGAGACCCCATGGACAACAGAACACACCCTGCCTGGCCCTCCGCCTGTCTCGTGGTCACTAGGATGCTCCACCCCACCCACATCATTCAGGTCAACTCTAAGGAAGGAGCCTTGGTGGCACAGTGGTTAAAGAGCTTGGCTGCTAACCAGAAGGCGGTGGTTTGAACCCAGTAGCCACTCTGCGGGAGAAAGATGTGGCGGTCTGCTTCATAAAGATTCCAAAAAAAAAGAACCCAAATGAGTGCCATGGAGTCAATTCCAACTCACAGCACCCCTGTTAAACCGAGTAGAACTGCCCCATCGGGTTGCCAAGGCTGTCAATCTTCAGGGAAGCAAAGCCCAAA